AAATCAAATGATGTCACTGAAAATGTTTCAAGTGTTTTGGATCCGTCGAAAATTGATTTTCCTTGTACATCTACTACAGTARTTGGATCAATAAAACCAGATTCGAAACAAACAAATTCCGATGAACTTTTTAAATTGAACGTTCTTGATTTAAGTTCAAYTTGTGATGAAAGTGCCGTACAACCTGTTATTAATTTTCCTCGTACAGTTATTTCCGGAAAACATCGATGTTTTCAAAGCAGTTGGTATAGTAAACATCCTTGGTTGGAATATTCAATTACACTAAATGCCGTTTTTTGTTATTACTGCCGTCATTTTCCTCCTCACCTAACGGTTTCTCAGTCTCATACTGAAAAAGATGCTTTAATTAATCGTGGATATTCTKATTGGAAAAATATTAGTAACCTGACAAAAAAACATGAAAATACTAGTTCGCATAAAAATGCTTTAATAAAATACAACTCATGGCTGTCAACAAAAAAAACCGGCTCAGTTTCATCTCAAATTAACCAACAAGTTAAGGACCAAATTATAAAAAATAGAGAAACATTAACAAGTATAATACGATGTATTTTGTATTGTTCTCGACAAGACATCGGAATACGAGAACATAAAAAAATCAATTCTACCGAAGATACAGATAATCCAAAAATCCAAATTGGGCTTGTCATGACGTAAACGAAGGTAATTTTTTAGAAATGATTAAATTACTTTCATTAGAAAATKATAATTTTAAAACTAATTTTAAATCATTACCAAAAAATAGTAAATATACGTCACCTGATATACAAAATGATTTAATTAAAGCTGCATCGAATCTTACATTACATAAAATAGTAAAAGAAGTTAATCTTGGGAGYAATATTTTTAGTTTAATTGTTGATGAGGCTAGAGATGAATCGAAAATTGAACAAATTAGCGTTTGTATAAGATATGTACACGATTTAAAAATAAAAGAAAGATTTTTAGGATTAAATKAATTAAATGCCCAAGCGTTGTGTAACGGATTGATATTATTTTTAAATAACACAGGTTTAGAMATTAGTAAATGTGTTAGTCAATCATATGATGGTGCTTCAGTTATGCCGGGAGAATTTTCAAGTGTTCAAACAAAAATAAGAACTTTAGCAAAAAATCCATGCCCATATATACATTGCCATGATCACAGGCTAAATCTAGTTCTTGTTAATGTTACACAAAATGTTCAAGAAGTAGGCGAAATAATAGGCTTATTAGAAGCTGTTTTTGCATTTCAATCAGTATCTACTCTTCGTCATCATGCTTTTTTCAAAGAAACAAATTTCAAAATCCCACAGCACTGTGATACTAGATGGGTCTCAAAATATAAAAGTATACAATTTTTCAAAACTCATTTTGGTAGTATTTTAAAAGTTCTTAATACATTTAAAGAAAGTTCTAAAAAACGAGAGGCAAAGGGATTGATTTTACAGTTTGCCAAGTTTGAAGTTATTGTCATACTTGTTTGTTTAAATGAAWTATTAAACATCGTAAACTGTCTTTCAATTAACTTACAGTCATCTACTTTAAATATATGACAGTGCACTRTGTTAATTAAGGCAACAAAAAAACAAATTTTGGATTTACGTGAGGATAAAAATTTCTATGAATTATATRAACAGTCATTGATAATTGCGCAAAATGCAAACGTATCTACACCATCAAATAATGATGTTTCCTCAAATAGGATGTCTCAAGGCCCAAGTAGAATGACAGATTATTACATAACTTCTACTACTGGTAAAAGACGTATTTTTTCAAATAATGAAAAAAAAACTGAACTTAAAATAATATTTTATAATATTTTAGATGTCAKATGTGTTAAAATGAACAAGCGATTTGATGAAAATGGTRAATTTTATGCAGTTTTAGGTGTATTAGACCAAACTTCAAAAGCATTTTTAGACTGTGAAACAATATGTAATTTTGCAAAAACTTTTCCATTTTRTCGGTCTGATGAATTTCTCAGTAAACTAAAATATCAATGTGCATTAGGGAAAACATTATTTTCATCTAGTTCTGGTCTTTTTGAATTGTTGAATCAAGTACAAAGTTATAAAGTTGGATTTGAAGAATTRAAAAAAGTAATTGAACTTATTGTTGTAATTCCTGTATCTAGTGCTTCAGCTGAAAGAAGCTTTTCAACAATGAGAAGAGTGAAAACATACCTCAGATCAACTATGAAAAGTTCTAGACTAAATGATTTGACATTTCTTTCCATAGAAAGAGAAATAAGTGGACAATTTATGGATAATCCATCACCTGTTATTGACGAGTTTGCTGTTATGAAGAAAAGAAGATTAGAATTTTTACTTTGAAAATATATTATAAATTAACAATAAGTATATTATTAGTCACAACTTTACGAGTATATAAATTAATATTTATAGTTGTATTTTGTAAAAATATCAGTATTTAGGTACTATTAAATAAAAATTGCATCTTTTGAAACTATATGTTCCCTATGMTTCTTTTTTGGTTCAATTTGTTTTAATTTTTAAGTAATTAATTATTCATTTATTGATAAGAATAATCATTGAAAACTTCGAAATTACGGTAGGCTAATAAAAAAAATCAGAAAAAGTCCCAATTACCGTCGGGTGAGTAAAAGTTTTATAGTGGGCCTACCCAAAAAAAAATCCTAGCTACGCCCCTGAACTACTCGTTACTCGTTAGTCATTACTGATATATTATATTATCATAATATATTTTTAGGCACATATGCGTGGACCAAACCCAAACCATATTTTTACGATCCTAAAATTAATATTTTAGTTTTCTATATTATCATAAATTCATAGTATACTATATGAGCCAGCAGCTGCTATATTGTTATTTTTTGTATGCTAAGACCTAAGCGTAGGTGCCTAGRCTATAGTTGCTGTTGCTACCGCAYCTATAAATAAAATATATTTTGATATTCAATACTCTTAACGTCTAAAAAAAAACCGTTCTTTTAGTGGAAAAATAAGTTAAATTATAATAAAGTAGTTATTTTAGATCAAAATTATACACAGCATACAGCATAAAATTCAGACAGACCTCTCTAAGAGATGGCTTGGAATTTGAACGTTCCAATTAATTTTTATTTTTTTTAGCATGCAATTCGGATGCACCGTAAAAAATGATAACAGGGAAACTAAAATTTTCCACTTCTTTGGGTGTCCGATATTATCCTTATATATTTTTTATTATATCGTTATATCTTGGTCGTCATAAATCTGGTTAGCAAATTTTCAGTCGACATTACTATACCATTGGAACTATTCCATGTTCATCGCTGTGTTTGTCTGTAGACCGAATATTTTAGTGGCTGCGTACGAGATAATTCCGGGTCATTAAATATTTTTTTCAATATTTAGTCATATATATATATATGTGTGTATTCTACCTATTAGCGTAACCCAATAAACACTACGAGGAGTTTGGCTRACGAGTTTCTCAAAAARGTTGTTCTTTTTAGTTTCTAATAAAAAATGATCAGTAAAAAAATATAATACGTAAAAATTATTATTAAAAAAATTTATTAATTTGGTAAAAATGTATAACATATTGTTTTTAAAAATTGGTAATGAAATTACCAGAATACCATGACAATACTTCTCTCAAAAAATTGACAGCGAACTCATTACGGTCGTGCAGTTTATTGATTTAAAACAATAGAGGATCAACTAGTACATACCTCTTAATGACCCAGGAGGCCAGGAATCAGCTCATACATAAAGTAGGTTTCGGGAATCAACTCACTTACTATACGATTTTATTTGGGCTTTGTATCCAGGATAAGGATAACCAACGTTTAATATCAACTATTGGTTTGATAAATATTCGGGAAGTGTTCAGTACTTTTAAGTCTATGGTTTTAGAATAACACGGCCATCCAAACATATACTATTGCTTAGTATTGCTGTTTATTAATTKTATGATATAGATACTATTCGCTTAATTACCAGTTTCATCACGAGTACCGGAGTACCTACTTACTATTTCATAATGTATTTTATTTTTTACAGGTTTCAAAGCATAATACAATATTCACCTAAATATTATTATTATGTAAACCTAGGTTAATTTCGATTATTGTTCAAACTATTATAATTATTACAAAACAATGTTTGAAGTTTACAATCCACAATTGTGTTTACAATTCGGTTAACGTTTAACGAGAATTGTATTGGTCTATAATTAAACTTAATAAGTATTGGATAATAATAAATAATTATTRTAATCTGCATAACTTTTCCTSAATTGTTCACGATTTTTAGTAGGAACTTAATTAAACGTTTCAAGTTTTAAAATATTTATCTTTATTATGAAACCGGTATATTATATTTTATTTACTATAGGTATCTAATATATTGTGTTAAATAAATTAAGGTGGGCAATAGGGCAAACCCTCACACTAAATTATTCACTGCGGACCAATGACACATTATCATATTGAAAAATAAACAAAAATAAAATAAGATATTCTATATTAAAAATTACAGCAAAATAAATAATAATTAATATATCTAAGCAAGTATATAAGTATTTAACAATTAACATTATATGCATACAATATGATGGGTAGCTTACGAAACACATGCACTTCGTTGCACGTAAGTTATGTACGACTAATAAATTAAAAAGTGTCTATGAAAATACTTTCTTTTTTTTAATTTCAGTAGGTAAGCATAAGCATAACATGACATTGTATTGCGCGAAAAAAAATATTCGAACTTTTCAAAAGATGCGTTTAATTAAAATAATTAAATGCCTACCGTTTACGAAACATCATATTAAATTACCAACTTAAGTGCCAGTAATAAAATGTATGTTCACGCATGAGAGAGTACAACTCCGAAGTTTCTGCCAATTTCAGACATGTTTGTGTATGAGATTATTATACACGAGACACTTACTCGGCTTGGAGCGAAGGATGCGTCGGAGACGATATCGTACCTACTACAAGAACTATGCCTGAAAACTCTCCCAGTTGTCTTAGAGAAAAGGCGGTACAGTTATTAGGTATTCCAATTTAAAAATGACATAAAAATATATCTATGTAGCCAATATAGATGATTGTTTTGGAAAAAGCAAGCTATAATATTGCTATGTAGTGCCTATGTTTTATATAAATGTTAAATCCAGAAGATAAAAAAACATTATTCCTTAACGAAATATTACAGGTWCAGGCRGTAGTGCGGTACAGCTATTTTTGTAGGTTGGTTGGGCTTATATTTTTTGATTCAGACAATTGGGGGAACAACATTTTGTTACATTATACGAGCTGCAGCATGTGTTAAATACATATAACATAACATTTTATGATTTATCGTATCAAGTTTTGGTTAATAACTAAATATAATTTTTAAACTCGTGTGATTTTTAATCGAAACTTTTTTTTTTGGTTCATGCAAAAAGCTTGTTTGTAGTTAAGTGTGGTTAGTAAAGAGAAATTACGATTATTTTACCTGCTATAATATGGCCTGTAAAATATGTATTTTTACTAGGCATATTAATAATTATATTATGTAGCTAATATTTTATTGTGTGACCGTTGCATGCCGAACACCTGTAGATTTTAATACAAACCTCTAACCATTAAACCATGGTTTATCTGCTGTATGATCTCTATGTTAGTCACTAGAACTCTTTGCTTCGTGTAACATGTATTTTGTGTGTGCTGGTTGTTATAATTTGAACTGATTTTGTTACGAATTTCTTGCTGTTTATTTGTACATTTTTGTTTTTTTGCGGGTTTTCATTATTTGTGTGTGTATATTGTTCAATTGAAATGCTAATCAGGCCAGATATACATTCTAAAAAAAACTATTTACAACGTGTACAATTATTTTAAAATGTTGGCCAGTATAAAGAAGACCAACCGGTAGTGGCAAATTTTTTCTGACTATGTCAATAGCGTACGGCTGATGCTTGTGGGGTAAATCGGTCTACTGTACAGATAATTTGTAAGGAAAGCAAAACTATATCTCTTGGTGTTGAAGAAGAGTTAGGTGTCGGGAGTTCTATATAGATATAAAATTTCAATCACCTAGAAAACGTTACAGTCGTAACAAACCTGACACTGATCTTGACGATTTCGACAGTGAAGTGGTCAGAAGGGTGGTCCACAGCTTTTATGACAAGGGATAATTTCTAACATTTGAGTATGTATAAGTATTTTTAATAGCATTGCGAGAAAAGCTGATTACCGGGGGTCGAAATCATCAGTAAAAATCATTTTGAAAAAACTGAATTTTAAATATAAAAGGTGTAATGACGGTCGCAAATTTCTAATGGAACGGTCGGGCATAGTAGCAGCGCGCGTAAAATGTTTACTAAGAATGAACGAGCTTCGTATAAATGGTGATACTCGGCCAATAATTTATTTAGGCGAGACCTGGATGAACCAAAATCATACTCGAGGATATATTTGGCAAAACCACGAAAAATACAGAGGGCTTAAAAGTACTTACAGGGAAAGGCAGTCGCCTTTTAATTTGTCACGCTGGGTCTCCTTCCTTTGAATCCTTTGGTTTTGTCAAAGATGCAAAATTAATTTTTCATTATAACTCTGGCAATACCAAAGATTACCATTCACAGATGAATGCCGCAATCTTTGAAAATTGGTATTTGCAAATGTTAATGAACTTGGAAGAGCCCAGCGTTAATGTTATGAATAACGCGTCATATCATTCTGTATTACTCGAGGACTACCCGAAGTCCCGAAGTCAAATAGTAGAAAGATGGATGTTCAACAAGAATTGTGCGAAAAATATTTAGTCTTTTCTCCCGTAGAAACTCTTGATGAATTACGGACGAAAGTCAAACTTGCGATGCCACGTGGAAAAATGTATAAGTTGGATCAATTGGCACATGCACCAAATGGAACATGAAGTGATAAGACTTCCACCTTACAACTGTCAGTTAATCCCATAGAATTAATTTGGGCACAATTTAAAGGGAGAGTGGCTAAAAAAAAATTAATAATTAAAATTGCTGATGTTGAGGCACTTGTCCATAAAGAAATTGACGCGGTAACTGCAGCTGATGATTGGGYAAAATGTGGAGAACATTGCATGAACATTTAAGAAGAAGATTTCTATAAAGCAGGACTGAGGGACGAAATATTAGAGCCGATTATTTTAACAATTTATACATATGACAGCAGTTCGAGCGACGACGATGAGTAGAATTTTATAATTATTATTAAAATTCGAAAACAATATTGCAAATATTTTAAATGCTATTATTATTATTTTATGTTTAATAATGTAATAATAAATTAATAAATACGTGTATTACAAAAATATAAAATGTTATGTCTCTATAGTAAAGGCCCGTTTCATAGCCACACGTAAGAATATACGATACGAATGCGTACCGTACGAGTAGCTGTGAAACAGGTCTATTTATAACAAGTGTAAAAGTATTTGAAATTATTTTACGCGGGAAAGCATTCTTTGTAGCCCTAATGAAAAACGGCCACTAGGGCGCGTGATCGTCAAGCTTCTTTTAAATTTGTAATTATTTTTATATAGCAACCAAATATCTGTTAACTCGCCAAAATATTATTTTTTTATTTACTTTACCAGAAATAAATTACAATGTWTTGCGGAACTCAAGAAAAACCTTTACCAATATTCAACAAAAAATGGAGAGCCACTAAAAATTGTGATCGAACAACATTGCTGACTCTCCGTCGTCCAACAGCCATATCAAAATTCAGAGACACTGTACCAAGACCCTATTGTCAACCAATTAAAAACTCTCTTCCATCATGGAGATACAGAAAATTGGACGAAAAAATTCCAATGTATCACGGGAACAGTCCATCTGGTCCAATTATCTTTCATAGAGGACCTATGGGAAAGAATCCTTTGCAAGTAGATACTAAATTAAGTTTTGTGTTAAACGATCCGCATAAAATATCGCACAGATATAACCCATTACATGATCCGCATTTAAAATACTGGCTTAACTCTTCAATTAATAAAAAATTTCTACAAAAGCAAGGACTCATTACTAAAGACAATCATGTGATTTGTAGTTTAAATGAATACAATGAGTACAGACGATTTTTATCCTTCGTACACAATGATTTAATAATGCATAAGCAAAAAATCAAAGACGCAGAAAATACAGATCGCAAAAAAATAGCCTTGGCAAATTTTAATCATAGAAAAGAATTATTAAAGACATTTAAAAATGTAAAGAACAATGAATCAAAAAATAAACGACAATCTGTAAGTTCAGTGATAATATCATTATTAATTATTAATTTTAAATCACCTGTAAAGAATTATTCAAAATAATCATCTACATCAGCGGTTCTCAACCTTTTTACAGTCACGTACCACCTACACAATTTGAAAAAGTTTATGTACCACCTGACCATTTTTTTGCTTACTAATAATGTATTATAGTGTATACGTTTATGTTATATATGTATAGAATTTTGTCAGTAAATTTTTTTTATAAAGGTAGATTTTCCGCGTACCACAGGTTGAGAACCGCTGGTCTACATAAATCTATATTTTTCTATAATATTTATTTAATTGTCTCAAAATGATTAAAAGATAATAGATACATTTTAGTACAATTCAACTTTGTAGTTATTATAATATCTACAAATATTTACCGTCACATACTTAACGTAATTTTTATTATAAATTTTAGCTTWTAAAATATTTCGAGGTTTAATTAAATTAGTATTTTTGTTTAATTTCCATTAAGAATAATATATTAAGTACCTATGTATATTGCAGTTACTTTTCAAATTTTTCTTAGTATAACTTCGAATTAAATGTATCAAATAAAAAATATTATTAAATACAGGTATTTCAGTATTGGATAAAATTATTTATATTTATATATTTATCTATGTATTTAAATATTATATAGATGCAAAGTAAAATAAACAATGGTCAGTTTACACGTAAACCMTCAAATAAAGAAAGAAAACAACCATTAAAGAAAATCGAAACGTATACTGAATTTGGAACGGGCTTGGGTGGTGTAATTGACCAGAACAAATACAAAGGTACCTTTATAAAAGGTTCCCCGAATGATTTCTATTTATTGGGATTGTTTGATCATTTTTTTAAACAACATTAAACAAAATTTGAAACATGATATTTAAATATAAAATATTATAGTAACATTTTACATCTTAAACAATTTGTCTATAAAATTTTAGAAATAAAAATAGCTAAAATATTCAAT